CTGTTTTTTCCACAAACCTTCCTTCAATCCATTATATTATTACTCCCTCAGTCCCTCCGCCCCGTAGAAAGGTTCTCACGCGATTTACGATGTTTGATTGACCATAAAGTTGACTGATACGTGTTCGTAATTAGATTTTTTTAGTAAATAAAATTTACATAAAGTTATCTAATTTACATAAAAGTTAATTAGATTTTATTTTTTTAGTTGCAAAATAAAAACTCAAATTTGATAAAAGTTGAATATATAAATTAAAAGATTAAGAAGAGTTAAATAAAAACTCACCTTTGATTGAGACGGAGGTAGTATTATGATCACCTAGGTAAATAAATAGCTATTGATGCCATTTTCTATAAATATTTCTTGCAGGTTACCAGGGATAGAGCTTTGCGAGACTGGGTGTTTGATGAGAGTGCCGATAATATGCATAGGAGCTTTGGATCGGGATACCCCGGAGGTGAGTTATTATGGCTTCATTTGATTAAAGGAAGGAAGCAGATTAAAATACTAGTTCAAGTTAATGGGTTATTCTGGTTATAGATCCGGAGACTAAGACTTGGCTAGATCATCACAAACATGTAGTGTTTGGTTTTCCAACACTAGTGCGCTTCAGCTGGGGAACTTGTAATTCATACTCCAAACACATTGCTGAGGTCTTATGGTGAGCCATCATATGGGTACTTTGTTATCAATCTATATTAAGTTATGCCTTTTGTGTACTAAGACATATTCTTTCCTATTAGTTTAAGTTTAGTTAAGGAGGAGTATCCCAAACCAGTGTTTGGTTGGGGGTTAATATATTATCAACTGAACAAATATTATACACCTTGGGTCTCTGCATCCCACAAAAACAGCCGCATTATCAAGTTGATTTTGACCAACGTTTTCAACTAATGCATTTGACTGAGAATTACAAGTTTTATTATTGAAAGAAAGACATAAATATGACTCTAGGGTTTTGTAAAGACAAAAATAGGATCACATTTGAACTTGGACAAAAAAGAGAGCTATTTCAACTGAAAAACCAAAACTACCCCAGCCCTTCACCCTCTCTTCTGTATCCCCAATTCCCCATTCTCGCACATTTTCTGTCTCTCTGCCCAATCTCCATCTACGCCGATCAAGCCACCGATTTGGCCAAGCTCCATCTACGCTGATCAAGCCACCGAGTTCGAGCTCTGCCTCCGCCACATTGACGCCGTCGCCGACTTCCACAGCCTCGCCATTCTTCTATTTCTTCTTTCTCCACTTCTTGGTCTCTTGGTGTTGATGGACGGTCGGAATCTTCGGATCTGAAGACGAAGAGGCGAGCGACGAAGAGTGACAGTGCGGCGTGAGACGACGGGGCGAGCTAGCGACGGTGCGGCAAAAGATGAGCAACGAGCGACGACATTGAGTAGATCGTCAGCGGTGAATTCGCGGCTAGGGCCTGGGATGCGGTTGGGGCATAGGGTTGGAAGCTGTGGGCTGGTGGGACATCTAGAATGAGCTGGGCGTTGAGGGCCCCGATCTGGGGTCTGAGGTTGAAGCTGGGGGATGGTGTCTGGGGTCTGTGAGGATGGGGGCTGGGGTAGGCTGGGTGAGCGGAGTCTACTGTGAATGAGAGTGCCAAGGGTGGGCTGGTGGGACAGGGGAATGGGGGTGGGGTGGACTGATGGGGCAGGGGGCAGAGCTGGGGTGTGGTGCAGGGGCAGGAGAGGCGGTGGTTGGGGTTGCAAGACTGCGGAGGAGCTGGGGGCCAGGTTGTGGATGGCTACCGGCAGCGCACCACCTGGCAGGGCACCGCCTGCCCCCGCCAGGGGCGGCATTTGTTTCATCGGCGGTCATGGTTGTGGTCATAATAAAGGCAGTTGGATACCGGATTTAAAATAGGTCACAGGCTGCCATTGGCAACAGTGACAGACGGTGGTCACTAGCCGGCAGGTCATTATGGTGGGGCAGGGGGCGGGGTTGGTTGGGCAGGGGGCTGGATTGGACTGCTGGGGCAGTGGCGGGGTTGGTTGAGCACTAAGGGCATAGGCGAGGTGGTCATGGTCATTGGCGGGAAGTCAGTAATGGGTTGGTCACTGAGATCAGGGTGGTCTGGGGCCTGATGTCACTGTAGTTGGGATGTCACTGGAGCTTGGTCACTAAGTGTTGGTAACTGTGGCATTGGTAACCGGGGTATATAGTCACGGTGTCATCTAGGAATATAGTCACTGTGACGTAGGTCACTGTAATGCATTGGTCAATTAGGCCACTGTAACACATTAGTCACTGTAGCAAGTCTGCTGGGCTTAGTAAGCAAAAATTGTATGTTCAGCCCTTTTTAGTCACATTTCTTGAAATTTTTAAAAAAGGTCACTTTTTTGTTCATTAGTTAATATTTAGCAATTAGTAATATTGGTGTCCTAACCCCTTTATTATTTTATGAGTATTCTTAACAAAGAAATTTTTTCTATCATTGAAACCAAACACCATTTGCTTTCATTGAATAACTATTTTGTGGGGTTTTAATAGGGAATCTGATATAAATGAGGAAGACGAAAGCAGTGGAAAATCTGGCAAGAGGCAGCTTAAGCTTACTAACATTGGTTTCAGCAGTGACGCGAAGAGGAAGAGCGAAGACATTGAATCAAGTGGTAAAGGACGTTGCAAGTTCTTTCAATCGCGCAAGCTTGAGCTAGTCCCTCACTTTTGAAGCGTTGACCAAACCTGTAACTTTAATGTAATGCAGAAATCACTAGCGGTGCATATTCTAATTCAATTTGAGTCTTTGAGGACTTGTTAGCTTGAACTTCATTGGATTATAATGGACCGCACTGGATATACTGTGACAGTTTTGTTCCATACCTCCATATCTGGTAGACTGGTAGTCCATGAAACTAGAATGTATTGGATGAGAAAAGTTTAGCCTAAAACCTCATAGGCCCGCCTAGGCATGGAATGGGTCCGGAACCGGGTCTGATATTGTCTGGGACTGGTACACCAGGTACCTTACTGGGTGTAGAGGGCACCCGGTCTTGGTTCTATTTTTGGGACTAAACTGGGCAGTTCGGTCCCGGTAGGCCATATTTTTTGTTTTAGCCTTGGAATGGTTGGAACTGGGCCCATCTGTTTTTGTATTTTGAACATATCTAAACCCTACTCTGAATCGGGCAAAAGCATTAAAGGACCTGGGTCCAGAACTGGGACCGGACTAACCTAGGTCCATGCCTAGGCCCACCCTATAAGACTAACCCAAATAACCTACAGGAGGAGTTATCTGGGCTTACTAAACAAGCCCTGAGTGTGGTTTAGGGATGGACTCGGGCCGGGCGGCCCGCCCCAGAACTGACTCGGACCGGTCACTGTTTGAACCGGCCCGGCCCGGAAACTGGGCCATAGGGTGGTTCGGGTCGACCCGGTCCGCTAGTCATACGGTTCGGGCTCGGGCCCTAGGAATGGTGAACCGGCCCGGCCGATTCAGGACCGGTCCGGGCCATTTTTTTTTATTTTGTTTAAGTTTTTGGGTTGGGCTGGGTATTTGGGGTCATTTGAGGTGGTTTGGGGTGGTTTGGGGGTGAAGGGGGAGGTTGGGAGTTAATTAGGAGAAGCCAAAAAACTTAGATTGGACTGAGGCCCGGCCCGGCCCGAACCGGACCCGGGGGTTACCCGGGCCGGTTCCGGGCCTCCCATATCCTGAATTGTGAACCGGCCGGGCCCAGGCCCGAACTGGGCCCGAACCGGCCCGAGACCATGCCTAGTGTGGTTGCCTAGTTTAGAGCCTTGATCAGACATTCCGACCAACTGACCAAGCCACCAATGTTAGAGTACAAGTTATTAGATTCTATGGGGGTTGAATAGATTTATGATTTAGGCATAAAACCCTATCATCCTGGCTGCAAAAAGTAGTCAGAAGCATCAAGCATATGCCTAATTAAAAAAAAAATCGGAGTAACTACTCTAGGGAAATAGTTTTGTCCTCGTTGGTGTTGTGGTCAATTTTTAATTTTATGATTTTTAGAGTTACACTCCGTACTACGTATAAATTACCTTCTATAATCAACCAAAACGTTCCACATACTAATCACATTGCACTACCACCTACCCAATTCAGTTTGAAACATGGAATTCGGTACGAATGCTACACAAAAATGAGATTTCCATGTTTAATTTGCGAAAGTATGAACTAAGACAGGAAAAACTGAAAGGGGACAAACAAAATGAGACAGAAGGAGTATGTTGATTTTTAAAGCCGTTATCAAATAAAAATTGGAAACCGCTCTTGTTATTTGTAGTTTTTCAGAAGGTTTATTAGTAGTTCTGAACTTTGGGAACAAGAAGTCCACTATGATTCATGAATAAGATAGTAGTAGTACTTATATCAGCCAGATAATGAAGGTAATGATTACAACAATTATATGTACTCCATCCGTAACTCTCATATCTTTCTACTTTCTCTTTTTATCGTAACATTTACTCCCTTCGTCCCTAAATAAACTTCCATTTCGCTTTTCGAGGGTCAAATTAAATCACACTTAAACTCTTACTTTATGTATCAAAATTTTATAAAAAGTGAATTATTTTTTGCAGGCTTTGTAGCGGGTTTGATGTAGTTTCTGAATATGTAAATTTTATTTTCTAAAAATAATCCGAGTTTTCACAGGGATCATTTAACTTTATCGCTGGTCAAACTTCGTAACCCGCAATTGGAAGTTTAATATGGGACGGAGGTAGTATATCTTTTCATTTCTAAATCTTCCTATTATACCCTCAATAATTTTGAAAATAATACACCATTACAACTATTTTTTGGATTTATTCTTCATTCCAGCACACAATTTCATTATTTTCACATCATACCCTCAATAATTATACCTCTTTCACTATTCTAAATCTCACTTACTTTTAATTGGGATGATATATATATTACGTAGTAGTAAAATTCAATTTTGGTTGAGTGGTTCAAGGGACATTCTCGATCACTACAATAGATAACTTGAGTGCGTATTTGAGCATGTGCGACTCGTGCGAGGTTTTTTTCTTCATATTTGTTTTTTACAGAATTCGGCTTAGATAAATAACCTGTTTAGAGTATGAGTCAACGGACAAAAAGAAAACTGATAACTGTCATCCCTCGAACCAGACTTGGAATTAATCGCCGTAGCAATATAATTCGCTGATTCATAACCAGGAAATAAAAAGCCTAACACGGTTACCAAATTCTTCTCATCCCCCATATCCAAAATCAACGTCTTACAAACTGGAACATAAAAGAAAAAACAAACACCAATACAGAAATAACAATCACTGAAAAAACAAGCAAAACAAAATAAAAAATACTTCCGTTGCCGCCAGAAAATCCAAACCCTAGCCTCTCCTGTCCTCCACGGCGGCGGTTCAGGAGGGGGACGATCCGGCAGTACTGTAACTTCTTTCCCATCTGTGAAGACAACTCCCATTACCAGAAATTCAGCTCCCTTCTCGGTTGAAAACATCTCTCCATCCTTCTTATCATCAAAATTCAAGTTGGAGTTTTCTTCCCCTAATACCGTCCTCTTGTACTGGTGCATCACCTCTTCCATTCGTTCCACGCACCGCTCAAAGCCGCCGCAGAGAATCCGCCGAAGCCAACGCCGATACCGAATGTATCCGAACTGCCGAAGCCGAAATCTTGCTCCAACCCTTTGTCTTTGCCGAAATCTAACTAATAAAAACGCGGTGGCAAGCCAAGAAGCCCGCCGCCGGACAAAACCCTAGGCCAACCTAGGCGGTGGCGCTAGAGTGAAAAGTTCCCTTTCTTCATATTTGTTATGTTTTCTAATTTAATATTACCTTCGTTCCCTAATATCCGGACACAAAAAGTGGAGTGTTTATTAGGAAAAATAAAATGGTGTAGGTGATAGATAGTACTCCTTATTAAAGTAGTAAAGTCTAATAAATAAAATAAGAATGAAATAAACATTCAAACTTTATTAAATATGATACTCCCTATAAGAAAAGATTAGTGAGACAGAGGTGAAAAGAAAAAATGAGATAAAAATATGGGGACGCAAGGAATAATACATACTCGTACTTCGTATAACCTAATGAGTTATTTATTTATGAACATCATTTCCAAAACAAAGTACTGACAAATATTATAAGATTTTGTAAATCAATGTTTCGCGATTAAATTGATTCACTGGCGTTATGGTCAAGAAAGACGGAGCTTTGGATTTGAGATTCAAATATCATCCATCGTTTTAATGAATAATCACAAGTCTATACGTCAAAGTATCAAACAAGTGGTCAATTTATAATTAATGTTGCACCCGGACGTAATTTCAGTTCAGACGGAATAAGATAGCCGCCTCTCTCAATAATTTTTCAATTGCTAGGATGTTTTACTTCACAATGAATAAGATAAGATCACTTATGTGATTGTTTCTACTTTAAAAAATGAATTTTGAAAATGATTTAAAAAAATGTTTAATAATAAATGTTAATAATATTTGAAAAAGTGAAAAAATAAAAGTTGATGTGGTTTCTATATCGTTTTAAACTCTTTCGGAATGACAATGCTATGATATCAATGAAAGTCCTTTTCTTCCAAAAAAATACAAAAAAATAAAAGTTGATAGTGTTTGATAAATTAAAAGAATTGTTTTTTGTATAATAGAAAAAGTGAAAAGCAGTTAAAGACGTTTTTCTCCCACATTATTATTTTTGTTGAAATTCTTATTTTAAGTACATCCAACTAAGAAAGATATTTCACACAATAAATTAGATAACACTTCATAACAATGAGATTAGCCTTCATAACAATGAGATTAGCTTTAGATTGTATCCACCCATAATATGGAAGTGCGTTAGTATTTGTATGTGGTCTATGTATGGCGACCGGAGTAAAGTGTGAGTTTATCGAACAACGATTAAGCTTAGATTATTTTATGGTGTAGAATTTTGGATGGTGAAACAATGTAACATCCAAAAAAAAGAATATGACTAAAATATGCATGTTTTGTTGGATACTTGGATATGTGAATTTAATAGAAAATATCACTTGAAAAATGAGACAATCAAACAAAAAGTGAGGTTAACACATATTCAAGATGATGTGTGCAAGTCTCAATTCCATATTTTGTCCATGTGTGTAGAAGAACATAATATTGTTGTAACAGAAATATTCCCCAGATATAGACATGTATTAGAGTGATAAGGAATGATATGATACTTCTTAATTAAATCTCATGGGATTATAAATTTAATTGGAAAGAACCGATTTATATACATGTGTAGGATTTATATCTTTTTATAATTTTTAACTCCTATTTGATATATGTATTCATGTTAGCTGACTTTTAATTCTTTGGAGACCAAGCTAGGCCTCGATGTTGTACACTACTTGCACGAGAAAGAACTTTTGAACCATGCGATACTAGATAAGCATAATATGGTGATTGTTTTGATTTAACATAATGAAGAGAGATCGAATTGAAAACTAGGAAGCACGGAAACTCTCCATGGCTCACGTTTCCACGTTTCGGAAACTCGGAAGCGTTTTGGAAACTCGGAAACTTCAAATTCCCGTTTCGGGGCCGTTTCCATAATTAAGAAAAATTTGGAAACCCGTTTCACTACGTTTCAGAAACCTTGGATTCCAATTTTTTTCTTTTTCAAAAGATTCTGTGGTGGAAAATATTTTTTTATAGTGAATTTTTGTGGTATTTCTCAGCGGCAACACTTGTTACATTTCGTAACGCAATGTATTGCTAGAAATGAATTAATCCGTACATTTTAGGTTTAATTATGTACTAATATGAAATAATATCTAAATTCGAACATGTAGAGTGATTTTATTATTAGGTTACTAAACAAATTATATTAAAAAAGCATGTGCATATGGAAAAACTTGTGTGCATATATTAAAAAATATTTATAAATATATCCTTATATTTTATAATATTTACGCATTTCCCCCATGTTTCGTGTCCTATATTTTTTAGATTTATGTTTCTCGCGTTTCCCGTTTCACGTTTCCCGTTTCCCGTTTCCGTGCTACTTAGATTGAAAAACAAAAAGAGAAGCGGTAGAAATATATGTGTTTGTCTATTAAGTGTATCACATTATCCATGATGGATTGTATGCGAAATCGACAAGAAAAAATTATAAAAAGAGATTTTGTCTTAAATATTATTGAGAAATATTGTATGGATAAAAATGTTATCAAATTACTGAGAATATCTCCATTGTATTTATAGTGTAAAATTAAACAAGAAAATGGTAACTTAAGTTCCTATTATAATAACAATTTTATTAACTTCTTTCTTTCTATCATCATTGTTATTTCTCAAAAGACTGAAGTAACTTTAAAAAAAAACTAAACAAAATAGCGAGATGTGTCGAATCTTACAGGTGAAAGATCCAACACAACAGATTTTATGTCCATAACAATAAAGATGTTCGGATTGTCATGCCTCCAAATCTTGGTGCTCGATCAAGGATCTCACCTATCTTTTTTTTTGTAGTTATTGTTTTTACTACATAACGCTCCTTGATTTATTTGTTTCATTTATGTTATAATAATAAGGAATTATGAATGCAAACTGTCTCATTCTTGATATTAATTCTATAGGTAATGAACATTTTGTTTCATAATTGGAGCCTCATCCTTCATTGCTCCAACGCATTAAACTCGAGAAAATTGAACTACCTCGCTTAGTCATGGGCTCAAGCACGACGTATGGGTTTGTCGGTTTGTTAATAAGTATAACCTCCACCCACTACAAGAGGAAGTGAAACTGTTATCCATAAAAGTTACTCCGTAATTTATATAGTTGATACTAGATAAAGTGAAAATAAAGTAAGAATGATTCTAGATGGTATAAATATTATCAAATTTGATATGCGACAATTTTAGTGGGACGAGCCTATTAAGAACCTGGTAATAATCCAGTCCAAAAGTAATGGAAGAACACGCAGATCTGATAAACTGATAGGGAAATATTCTTTATTGATGAAATCGGGTAAACCATAGGTAAAGGCACAGGGACAGGGACTTCTTAGGCAACAGTACATCCAAATAATAGTCTACCTATAATAGCTATTCCCCCTTCTATTTATAGCCAATATCCACATAAGGATATGCCAACTATTACTATTAACCCCTTGTCTTCTAAATATACTACTACAAGTACCCTTACTATTATTATTATTATTATTTCTTATTAATACCTACTAAACCCAGATTCCTATCATTACTCCCCCCCCCCCCTAAACAACCACCTTATCCTCAAGGTGGGTGATAGGAATCAGCCATGATTTTCCACTTGCACTTCATTCTTGCACCTCTTACTTCCCAAAACCTCACAGATTTCTGAACCCATAGTTTCCTGATTCCAACCTTCATGGTCACTCCTTTCATAACCCGAAAGAGCATAGCAAGAAAGAATAGAGACAATGACTTGGTTGCATACTGCTCCTCAAGGTTGCCGCCATCAGTTTTCATAATATCAAACGGCCAAGGCACTGAGTCTGGAAAATTTCCTTCTCTCATTCCCCATATAAAAGAGCCCATAGCTCTTGCAGTAACAGAATGAGCTTCAGGGAGCTGGTCCTGATGAACTTCAGGCAAAATAAGCATGAACGTATTGGCTTCCTGCTTCATAAAAGTGATAACCGCACCAAAATCCTTTATTTTATGAACACTTGCTTCAATATTGCTACCAAGAACAAACTCATCAGTACATCTTAGTCCAGAATCAGAGGGGTCCCAACTTTCAGAAAGTACCAAATTTCCATCTTCAACATCAAGAACCAGATGTTGGTAAATTTCAAACCCCGGTTTCAAGATATCCCTTCCCAGCTTTACTACAATTTCTGACATATGTCGTAGATGAAAATTTGCTTTCATGCTATTTGCAACTTGAAAAATGGCACAAAAACTGTCAACAGTAATAACTTTTCCCCTCAGTATCATCCCCAGCTTGGCATCAGGTTGAGTAAACACTGATTCTTCAATTGCAATGTTCTTCACCCGAATGGGCACTATTCTCACTCCATTTGCTATTAGCCAGTTGGAGAGAATTGTCACCCTTTTCCCCCTCCTCCACATCCCTTTTATGGAGTACCTGGATCCCTCTTCCCCAAAGGTAATGGCATATGAGAAGAGATTAAGATTGAGATCTTTGACAAGCAATAAATTCACGTCAGCCTCAAATTCAGTAACATATCCAACATATTCCGTAACTTGAATCTGCTCTTCCGAGAGTCCTGAGCTAGAAATTTTTTTAACTCCCCATGACACTACTCCCATTGACCTATGACTGACAGTAACTCCCATTTCATACGCAATTAAGACTCTACTTCCAAAAGAGCCTGGGTGTAGAAGCAAACCAACAATAGATACTCGGCTGGGCATCAACTCCAAGTTGGCTGCAAGAGTAGGAGAAACATAATCTGGCAATTGTCTTTTCCCGGCATCATATTTCAACTCTGACACGCAATCCATATAGAGCAATTTAAGCTTTGGAAACCCTTCCATTATAGGCTGGGAGTCAACAGGCAGTGTATAACCAAATAAACCAACATCTTTCTTATAATTCCTAGCAAGTATAATCTCCATTTTATTTTGAATATACTTCATACAAGTATCACTATCAAATCTGAAACCATCAATCTTCTTCAGCCCCTCCAAAGTCAGGTTTGATGCATGACTGTGCCCAATATCCATTAAAACACCCAATCCCGGTTCATGAACTATATCAACCAAAAATTTAAATGCTTCTGAGTTTTGGTCTAGGGCACTAGCATACCTTCGGACATTCGATGTTTCTGATCTCCTGTAATCTGTAGCCTTGTTTCTGAAATACAATTCAAACAAACACCCAATATTAAATTTGTTCTCAGGTACCAAGCCATACGCACAAATTGATAGCTGGGCGTCAATCTCCTTTCCTGGGCTGATATGACGTTTAGTAATGGACACCTTCTGCTCATTTGATGTAGCCTGCGAGCTGACAGTATCTTCTCGTGACGCATCCAAAGGACTGGAAGGAGTTGCTTGCGATTGAGAAGAAACTTGCGAACTCAGAATTGATTACGACGAAGCCTGTGAACTGTGAGGAACAGCTTGAGATGCCATCTGCGAACAAGTAGAAGAAGGTTGCGACTGCGAATTGTGAGGAGCAGCTTGAGATGCCACCTGCGTACTGAGAATAGTCGTTCGCGAATACGAACTGGGAAAAGTGGTTCGCATCTGCGAACTGGGAGAAATAAACGACGATGT